ATTCTAAATTTAACAGGGAGCCAATGCAGAGAAGCTAGAACAGGAGAGATGTGATCTCTTTTCCTAGTTCCTGTCAGTACTCGTGCTGCAGCGTTTTGAATTATAATATTATAATAATAAAATACATTACAGAAGGCAATATTTCTTTATTTCATTCATTATTCTATCATTTATTTCATTAATTATTTGATCATTTATCAATTATCTCATTATTTCATTATGTATTTATTATTTATTTTATTATTTCATATTTTATTTGATCATTTATTTTATTATTTATTTCATTATTATTATTATTTTTTGGTCTTTTATTGCCTTTATTGTATATTGACAGCCGAAGATTGACAGGAAAAGGGGGCAGAGAGAGGGGATAACATGCAGCAAAGGGCCGCAGGTCGGATTTGAACCCGGGCCACTGCAGCAACTCCGTACATGGGTCGCCAGCTCTACCGACTTTATTATTTCATTATTTATTTCATTTATTTTGTTACTTCATTATTTATTTTATTATTTCATTCATTATTATTTATTTTATTTCATTATTTTTTTCTTTCATTATTTATTATTTCATTCATTATTATTTATTTTATTATTTCATTATTTACTTTATTATTTAATTCATTATTTATTTCATCATTTATTATATTATTTCATTATTTCTTTTATCATAACACCATTCGCTAACGTTAGCTTAGCTTAGACAACTTCAGCAAACATCCAGCTAGCTATAAAGCTAAATGCTAACAGAGCTAGCTAGCTGTTAGTCCCAGTTTCATTATATTGATCAGTTTTATTGATCTTACCTGCATGTGTTTTACACGGCTCGTGAGGACAAAACGTGTTCTCGCAAGAGTTTGTAACAAACAGCGACATCTGGCGGGAAACAACAGCCAGCAGACATTTTCTTCTTCAGCGGTCCGGTCTGCTTATGGTCCGTTGTAACTGGAAACCTCGCGCTCATAATCGGAACCTTTCAACTGACACACTGACCGCGGACCACCGGTCATCTTCACAATAATGGTAATGGACCTGTACCTGTACAGCGCCTTTCTGGTCTTCCGACCACTCGAAGCGTTCTTACACTGCAGACACATTCACCCTTTCACACACATTCACTCAGTGATTGCAAAGCCCATCGAACAGAAACTAATGCATTCACTCACCGACAGCATCAGGAGCAATTCAGGGTT